AAAAGAGGAACAAATGTAATAATCTGAACAATAAAGATTTAATTATTAAAAAAAAAAGTTTGAGAACCCCTGGCTTAGAGCATGTGGTATCTGCCTCAAGAAGGCTCAGTGGTGAAGGTGCTCATTAGGCTTGGCTCTGGGCTGCAAGGTCACCAAGGGACTGCTTTAGGCACGCAGCTGGAGTCGGATGTGCCCACACACTTGCACCTCTCATCATGCAGCAGGAGCAAGAAAAAGCAAAAAGCACACAGGAACCAGAAAGAGAAGCACCTTCCTCCTGCAACATCCCTCCGGCTCCCTCTACTGGCCAACCTTAGCATCGTGCTCACTGGCAAGAGAAAATGCCTACAATCCTTTATCCCAGGGTATATAAAGAGTGAATTTGGAGGTGTAAGAAAATAGAGAACTGCCACAAGCTGTTATCAGAAATTAGAACAGGTATTGGTAATATTTTTCTGTAAAGAACCTGACAGTTGCCAAAACCGGTTTGGCTCAGTGGATAGAGCGTCGGCCTGCGGACTGAAAGGTCCAGGGTTCGATTCCAGTCAAGGGCATGTACCTGGGTTGCGGGCACATCCCCCGTGGGAGATGTGCAGGAGGCAGCTGGTCGATGTTTCTCTCCCATCGATGTTTCTAACTATCTATCTCTCTCCCTTCCTCTCTGTAAAAAATCAATAAAATATATTTTTTTTTTAAAAAAAGAACCTGACAGTAAATATTTTAAGCTTTGGGAGTCATACAATCTTTATCAAAACTCTTTAATTACGTCATTTTTCCCCCATGAAAAGCAGTATAGATAATATGTAAACAAATAAGCATGACTGTGTTCCAATAAAATGTGATTTACAAACAGCCAGTGGATGTGGCCCATAGTTTACCAACTTCTGATTTAGAACTTTGGAGTGAATAACCTCTATTCTGTGAATAGAATTGTATTAAGAAGGGGAATGAAACATAAGTGCAGAGCTGAGGTGGGTGGTGGGGGATGATCAAAAGGAATTTAAATGATAGTAATGCCTACACTATATAAGGTGTTTTGTGGGTATTTTGTCCAAAATAAGTGAGTGCTATGGACTGAATGTTTGTCTCCCCCGTCCCCCCATTTATATGTTGGAACCCTAATCCCCAATGCAATGGTATTTGGAGATGAGGCCTTTGGGATGTGATTAGGTCATGAGGATGGAACCCTCATGATGTATTTGTGTCCTTACAAGAAAGGCAGGCGAGAACTTGCTATCTCTCTGGTTTCCTCCATGTGAGGATACAACAAGAAAACGGCCATCTGCAAGCCAGAAAGTGAGTCCTCACCAGGCATCAGATCTGCCCGCCCCTTGATCTTGGACTTCCCAATCTCCAGAACTGTGAGAAATAAAGTGTTGTTTAAGCCAGTCAGTGCATACTTTGTTACAGCAGCCCAAACTGACTGCGAGCTATTATATTAAAGGATCTAACAGGGTTCTTAATAAATTGATATTTCTAGGGGTGTATCTCGATCTATATTATTCATTCCTCTTTTGAGGGAGTTGAGGCTCAGAGGGGCTAAGAAACTTGCCTCAAAACACACAGCCTGGCTGAGCTGGCATTTGAACGACTAGTGTGTATAACTCTCTTTTAAAAAAAATATATTTCTTTATTGATTTCAGAGAGGGAGGGAGAGAAACATCAATGATGAGAGAGAATCATTGATCAGCTGCCTCCTGCACGCCCCCTACTAGGGATCGAGCCCACAACCCGGGCATATGCCCTTGGCCGGAATCGAACCTGGGACCCTTCAGTCCGCAGCCGACGCTCTATCCACTGAGCCAAACCGGCTAGGGCTAGTGTGTATAACTCTTAAGCCTCCCTCTAAAGAAAAGGTTGAACAGGTTTGCTTTAAAACCCCTTTAAAAGATTAGGGTTGACTAAACTTAGGGTCTTTCAGCTGTGACACACCACGCACTGTATGTTCAGTATCTATCTGAGCCCACCTCTTCACTGCTCCATGGGACTTGGGGAGCAAGGTGAACCAACAGAAACATTAACCTTATGCTGCTTGCTGTACCACACGTAACGAAGTCCTTTGTTTCTGATCCAAGAGTCTCATGTCTTCTGCCAGCATGTGTGACCCTGTTCGCATGCAAGAAGTACAAAATCTCCCTACACCCTTTGGTCTTTTTTTTTTTTAATGTATTTATTGGTGTGTGTGAGAGAGAAACATCAATTTGTTGTTCCACTCATTTATGTATTCATTGGTTGATTGTTGTATGTGCCCTGACCTGGCATCGAACCTGCAACCTTGCCGTATCAGGACAACGGCCTAACCAACTGAGCTACTCGGCCAGGGCAAACCCTCCGGTCTTTAACAGTCTCATGCAAATGTCAAGAGTCAGTAACTCTCACTTTCTCATCTCTCACTGCACTTCAACTTCCTGTGGTTTGGCATGAGCCCCCAGTACAATGCTGCAGCTGTGTTTGCTGATGTCACCAAAGACACTCTGACCACGGTTCAGTGGATATATTATTCCAGGCAAATCTTCTGGACACACCCTCTTTCTGAAGTGCTCTACTGTTTGCTTCCATGAGACCACGCTTTCCTGTCTGTCCTCACTGGTCCCTTTTATGGACTCCTGGTCCCTTAGCAGCCCCATCAATGACCTGCCCACCTCCCTATTGCTCCACCAGCCCTCCCTGGTGATCTCACTCACACTGTTGGTTTTAGGAACCTCACGCATGGTGATGATGCCTTAAACTCTAGATCCAGTCCAGGCCTCTGACACAACTTACCCAGCCACCTGCTGAGCAGCAACACCTCCACCTCAAGGGGTCCAAAAGGAACCCATCGGTCCTTGGCCCTCCACACCAACCACCTAATCCTCCCTCCTGCTTCCACGCTCTCAGTCTGTGATACAACCAGACACCTCATTGCTCCTGTAAGTCATCTTTGACCCCTCACTGCTCCTCACACCCCAGAGCCAAGCTGTCTTTGAGTACTGCTTTACTCTCTATTTTAGGAATCTGTACCCCTAACTCTCACCACGCTGCTCCTACACTGTTGTTCCCCTTCAGGCCCCAATCATTCCTGCTTTGTGACTGCAATGTCCAGCTAACTGGGCTTCCTGCCTCCTTTCGGCCCTCTTAAAGCACTCACTGCATTGTTGCCAGAGTTATATTCCTAATATATAAATCAAATCATATCACTTCCCTGCTTTAAGCCTTTCACTTGCTCCTCACTGCCTGACAATGTGAAGGTTATTAAAACATGGCTCACCCTGCTCTCCGTTATATCCGACCCAACCTCCAACCCCCTCTCCCTCAAGGACGACTCCTTCTGACTCCTGTGGCCACTATCACTCAAAATAGGGGTGGAGGGAGGAGGCATCTCAAAATAATACTCACTGAATGGTACTAATTTGTGTTATCCTGAATCAGGAAGTCCCAAAATGTTACATTAAACACTAGTCACATCTTATGTCTGCCTCAAACCTATCTGAATGTCCTTAGTTTTTCTTAAAAAATAACATCACAGTTTGGATCAGGAGCCATATCTCTCTTCTCCATTATTCACTATCAATTTTACTTCTTAATAATCCCCTTGAGAAATAAATCAAACTATTCCCTACTTAATGTATTAGAAGTATATAATATATAAATGTGTGTGTGTGTGTGTGTGTGTGTGTGTGTGTGTGTGTGTGTGTGTGGTAATTCCTCTTCTTCACCCTAACAAACCAACACCCTTGAGTGTCCACCAGGAGGCGCCAGGGGTATCAAAAACCTGCGGTACTTTCATGGCTGGAGAGGCGGCAGTGGATGCAGCAGCGATGGAACCAATTCTCTTTCTGAGAATCAGTGAGAGGAAAGGGAGAAGAGCTGCGTTATCTTAGGGAAACCATATCGCTCTCCCCCTTCCGCGAGTAGGTAGTGTGTGGGGTGTGTGCGGGGCCCATGGAGAGTCGCTGGTGGCGGCTGCAGTGGCAGCTGGGGCTCCTACTGGGGCTGCAGCCGGCAGTAATCCGACCCCGCCGGCGCGGGGACTGAAGAGGCGCGAGGGAGAGCGGCGAGCTGCTAACAAAAGCCCTCCGCGCAGGGCCAGATCCCAGGACGTGCGGTAAGTGAAGCGGGTGGGGAACCGGGAGTGGCAGGGCTGCAGGAGCCCCTCAAATCCACCTCGCTGGGATACGGTGGGGGAAGGGGGGGGGACTCGGAGGGCATCTGGGGGCAGGTGTCTGAGCCTAGACTGGGGGTGGATGGTGCCTTTAGCATATCAGACTTGGAGGGATCGGGTGCATCTGGGAGGACCTAGGCACCTTCTTCATCCCCGGCAAACACGGGGGTGGTGGTGGGGTGGGGAGGCGCGGGCACAGCTCCCAGCAAACCCTAACCAAGAGGCAGGAGAAAGATCGATCACCCCTCCCGGAGAGGCCTTTTGAGATTGAGGCATTTCTCCCAGCCCTTCCATCCCCTCTGCACCCCATGCCTGGGTCTCCTTTGGCAGGGAGAAATCAACCATAACTTCTTCCCTAGGCCAATGGGGTCTTCGCAGCAGGGCACTGTGGGGGATGAACAGGCCTCTTCCTTTTTTTGTTCTTGAAAAGCGGCATCCCCGGTTGCCCGCCTAAGCTACAAACAAATAGGCTAATCCTCCCGGGAATCCTCCAGCGGCCTCCCTGCCCGGCTACTACCTGCACCTCGATTTTTTCATCTTAACTTGCAGCAGGAAGAAAAAGCATCTAACGGGCCAGACGCCCCGGGGAGCATGGCCACCGCCTCTGCCTGCACTCCGGGGCTCAGGGAGATTGAGGCTGCTCTCTGTGCACCCGTACCCACACCCCCACCCTGGGCTGCCTGGGTTTTCAGGGCATCCTTATTATGATCTACGTTCCATGGGCCTCTAAACCTCATCCCAAAGCGGCTTAAGTTGGGATGGGATGGATATGAATGGGGAGGGGAGAACTGCTCTCAAATGTACCCCGCGATTTCCCTCTGTCATTCGCAGAGACCCCATAAAAGGACACGTTTCCGCCATGGTGGACCCCATACCTGGAGAGGAGAAGGCGGGAGCCGAGGCTGGAGGCTCCGGAGGAAAACGGAGCCGCCGCGTCCGTGCCCCCTGGCGCCCAAGGGGCCGAGCAGCCCGCGGCCCCTTCGGCCTCGGCCTCGGCTTCCGCGGGCGGTGCCCCCGCAAGGCTGAGTCCCATGCGCAACAGAATGGGGGGCGGCGGGAAGCAGTCCCCGCTGCTGCA